CCCCCGTGGGAGAACCCTCCAAAACATCGTCCCGAGACCCCCCCAGGCCCTCCAAGATAGCCTGGAAGAGACCCCTCCCGAAACGAGACCCCCCTCCCTTTATTACGAAATCTGGAGTACGAAGACCGGCATCATATTTGGCTCATTTTGCACCAGGACTCGCTGTCGGTGTCGGCAGGCACCTGGTCCACTTGAGACAGGAGGCCGCCTGCCCAACAGCGGCAGCCGTCGGTTTTGGGCAGTCTCTGATGTTGGGCATCGTTCCAGTTTGTTCCGTAAGTGCTGAAGTAGCACTGGTGAGTACAGACAAGCCGTTGGCAGAAGAGAACAAACAAGCCGTCCAAACTCTCCACTTCCTCCCAGGCTGTCGCGTCGCGCCGACCTGGCTCAAGGAGGCCCTTGCGAGGACCAGCTTGGCGACCCAAGCGCCGCAAGCTGCGCGCGCGCAGCCGCGCCACTGGGGTCGGGCCGGAACTTCTGGACGTATTGGGTGTGGTCGGCGGAGAAGGGGCAGGGGGCGCAGGAGGAGGGTAGGAGGGGAGCGGGGGAGAGGAAGGTAGGCAGGAGGTAGGAGGGGAGTAGGGGAGGGGGAGGGGCAAGCTAGGTGCGCTCGCGTCATATCTGACATCCTACCCCTCCCTCCCATCCCTTACCATGGCGTAGATCTCCTCTCTAATTATTCGCAGAGTCGGATGTCGAGCAGGGCAATGATGCTGAGAGGGTGCGCGATGCATCGTAGAGCACGGCATAGCAGGGCGTAGAAGAGCACGGCAGAGAGTAGTATGTCATAGCATTGCGTGGCGTTGCGTAGTGAAGAATTGCATCACAAAGCATTGCAACGCCAAGGATGGCATCGCACAGCTGCACAGAACAGAACGTGGCATAGCGTGGCGTTGAATCTCAAAGTGTAGCATGGCATAGCATGGCGTGGCACTGCGTAGTCAAGCACTGCATATCCTAGCATTGCAGCTGAATGCATGGCATAGCACAGCGGAACACACATAGCATTGCATTGCATGCCGTGGCGTGGTACTGGAAACCGCCAGCGCTGCAGCGGGAGCACGATTCGGAACGAGCGGAAGCGCGGAAATGGGGCCAACGCTGCAGCGGGAGCACGATTCGGAACGAGCGGACGCGCGGAGATGAGGCCAGCGCTGCAGCGGGGGCACGATTCGGAACGAGCGGAAGTCCGAAAATGAGGTCAGCGCTTCAGCGGGCGCAACATTTTGAAAGAAAGCCCAAGCGAAAACACAACTCCCGGGAATCCTGTGTGTAAAAAAGACAGTTCGCGGAGGGGGGCCGAACATCTTCCGGACGTCATCAGGGCAGAGGGGGGAGTAGTACTCATTGTGCAGTTGTAGAGGAGGGCAGGAGGGGAGTGGGGAAAGGAGGCCTGGAGAGGAGTGGGGGAGGGGAGAGGAGGGTAGGAGGGGAAGGGGGAGGGTTGAGGACAACAGGAGGGGAGAGGAGGGGAGGGGTGGCCCCGACGCCTCCTCCGCTTGGTCCTCCCCTCCCCGTCGCTTGCTGCCGCTGCTTTTTGCCCTCCCGCCTGGCAGGGGAAGAGCGGGCAGAGTCGGGCCTGCAGCGGCGGCAGGGTGAGGGGCTGCGATGCCTCTCGCCCTGCCCCCTCCTCCGCCGCCGCCGCCTCCTCCTCCTCCCCCTCTTTCCCCTCCCCCACCTCCTCCACCTCCTCCACCTCTTCCTCCTCCTCCTCCTGCTCCTACACACACATACATCACTCCTACCTCCTCCTTCTCCTCCTCCTCCCCCTCCTCCCCCTCCTTCCTCTCCTCCACCTCCTCCTCCTCCTCCTCCCCGGCACAAGTCACGGCTGGCTCAAGGAGCATCAAGGAGCTCAAAGGAGCTGTACCCCCTTAAATTCCCGATTTTGTCATCCTTTCCTTTTACATCTCTCTACACATCTTGTGCCAAGCATCATGAAAAAGGGCGCTCAATCGAGCGACTCTCCCGAAGATCACAAGAAGGCAAAAGTCGAGCCCAAACCGGACAGAGTTGAGGAAATGTTTGCGGAGCTCAAGAGCCTGATGGGAGGCCTCAGCACGAAGGTTGATGCAAGCCTTGCCATCGCCCAGGAAGCGAAGACCGAAACGGTATCCGCGAAGCAGGCTGCCCTCGAGACGACGCTGACCATAGCCAGCCTAGAGGACAAGATCAACAAGACCAACGAGACTGTGGCCACAGTGCAGAAGGAGGTCGAGCACATACAGCGTGCAAAAACCACCATCCGCAGGAACCACAAGGAGCTGGACTCCGACATCAGGGACAAGCAGGTGCTCGCGTTAGGTTTTAAGGAGCGTATGGAACCGGGCATCATCATCGCCAAGATCGAGGCGATACTCACCGAAGTGTTGGGCGACAGCCACACCGCCAAGGTGGAAGCCGGCGGAAATCGTGCGAAGATGGGGATCATCACATTCGAGGACGCATCTCACAAAATCGCTTTTTACAAGAAAATGGAACCGATCAAAGGTAAAGAACACGTGAAGCCCATTTTCTTTCGGAACAACTCCACAACGGAAGAAAGGACTAATGACAAGCTACTTGGCTACACCAAGTTCCACCTCACCCGCAAGGGCCACGTCGAGGATGAGGACATCAAGATCGTCTGGCGGAAGAGCCTGGTGGAGGTTCACGGCCGGAAGGTGGCCTGGATCGATGAGTTCGGGGTCTGGCGCACTACGGGAACAGCCGAGAAGGTTGAGCAGGACGTGAAGGCGTCCATGGACACATGGAGGAAAAAGGTGGACCCCGACCCGGCGACCGAGTCTGAGTGAAGGGATACCCCTCCCTCCCGGGAACATGGGGCTAATACGACCCACACTTTTGAGTTTCACCCACCATCCAGAATTCGTTTACATAGGCATTCGATTTTTCCATTCCCTGTCCCCCTCTCTCCAAATGGAGTTCAGATGAATCTTCCCAGGAACGCTGAGACTTTTGAGTGTGCCCTGCAGGACGAATCCGATAATTTACTTTTTAATCCCCCCTCAAGGAAGTCAGCTCTCAGGACCTACATCGTCAAGGCCAGCGTCGCGACCACCTTCGACGACAATGCCAGCGCGCAGCACAGGCGGTGGCAGAAAGGGCTTTGCACATGCAGACGGCGACGTGCCTTTGAGCATTTTCACAACGCAGCACACTCCACTGCCGAATAGCACTGACCGCCACAACCAGCAGCAGCACCGTCGACCAGCAGCGACCGACTACCACGAGCAACCACACACAGCAAACCTCGACCGCAGCCAACCAGCACAACCAACAACACTGACCACCGACCAACAATACCAGCAACACTTAACCAAACCACCACCGCCGACCAGCACCGACCACCAGCGCCATCCACTGCCGAATAGCACCGACCCCCACAACCAGCAGCAACACCATCGACCAGCAGCGACCGACTGCCACGAGCAACCACACACAGCAAACCTCGACCGCAGCCAACCAGCACAACCAACAACACTGACCACCGACCAACAACACCAGCAACACTTAACCAAACCACCACCACCGACTAGCACCGACCACCAGCGCCATCCACTGCCGAATAGCATTGACCACCACAACCAGCAGCAGCACCATCGACCAGCAGCGACCGACTACCACGAGCAACCACACACAGCAAACCTCGACCGCAACCAACCAGCACAACCAACAACACTGACCACCGACCAACAATACCAGCAACACTTAACCAAACCACCACCACCGACCAGCACCGACCACCAGCGCCATCCACTGCCGAATAGCACTGACCCCCACAACCGGCAGCAGCACCATCGACCAGCAGCGACCGACTACCACGAGCAACCACACGCAGCAAACTTCGACCTCAGCCAGCCAGCACAACCAACAACACTGACCACCGACCAACAATACCAGCAACACTTGACCAAACCACCACCACCGACCAGCACCGACCACCAGCGCCAGCAGTGGCACCGACTAACACCAGCAAGTTCACACCATCCAGCTCTGACCAACAACGACGAGCAAACAACGGCGCAACCGACTCCAGATCAGCACCACCAGCAACGCACACCCAATCAACCGCAGACCACACTCACCCAACAACAAAACAGCCGACTAGCAGCGACAAGCCAACACCAAACAATCCAGACCAGCGCCGACCACGACCAACCAGCAGCACCAACGAAAATGACACCGACCACTGACGAGCACCAACAGTACATATTCATAACGGTTATTCACAAAAATGCCCGGGCACTTACGACAGACGACCGGGTCAGCGAACTCATCGCAGAGCTCGACAACTGCCATTGGGATTTTGTGCTCATCAACGAGACATGGAGGACGACTACGACGGAACTATGGACAACCGTGGAAGGGCATGCGTTTGCTGGATCTGGCAATGACCAGGCGTGCCACGGAGTTGCTATTCTTATACACAAGCGTTGGGGAAAGAGCATGCAGAGATTTGAAGCCCACTCGCCAAGACTCGCCACGATGCTGTTGAACAGAGGGCGGTTGGAATTACAATTGGTGGCCGCATATTTTCCACGCTCTGGGTGCAGCGACCCGCGCATTCAGCGCATGTGCGACGCGATCCACGAGATTCACAGAGAGAACACCAAAGCACGACGTCATATTATACTCGCTGGCGACTTCAACGCGCAGGTTGGGGAATCCCGTATATCAGTAGATGGCGACGACGACGACCTCATCACTTCCAGGTGTGTCGGCCGCCACGGATATGGAATCGAAAACTCAAGGGGTACATGGTTGCGACACTGGGCTGCCCAAGAAGGGCTTGTGCTTGCCAATACGTTTTTCCGAAAGCCTATACATAAGCAGATCACTTACATCAGCGGCGACAAGCAGAAACAGCTCGACTACATCTTGCTCAACCGCAAGCTCTTCAAGCATTGCACTAATGCCGAGGCCAACAACGTGACCGACCTGGGATCCGACCACAAGGCTGTCGTCACTGAGTTGAAGATACCAGAAGCAATGGTAACAAAACGACAGCGACGAGACGACGACCAACGGCAGCGCAGACATGCACCACCCAACGCCTCCACCGGCAAGATCATCAATGTAAACGTCTACCACGACCACCAAAGACGACGACTGAAACCAGACGAACTACCAATCGACCCACAATCCCTGGACGAGCACATCCAGCAAGTTCTCATCGACGCCGCGGCCGTTAGCAGCGCTGGAGCACCACGACCAGACCGACAACCAGACAGAGGAGCAGAACATCTACGCCCTCTCATCGCACAGCGACACCAGACACCAAACAACGACCACCGCACCCGCAAACAACTGAGCAAACTGATGCAGCAGGAGATCCGTGCGCAGAAGCGGCGGACACGACGGGCCCACATAGGAAGCGTGCTCGACCAGTTCAGAGACCTCAAAAGTATCCCGCGCATCAAGACACGCAGAAAGCGGAATCTCATCACTCACATGACAGACAAAGGAGGCTCAAAACGCACGGCCCGGCAAGAAATTGCAGACATATTCGCGGAGTTTTACGAGCAGCTATACGACACAACGGCCAAGCCGACGCAACGAGAGCGACGCAGCGACGACCTTCCACCCTTCACTGGCGAAGAGTTGGAAAAGGCGATTCGAGGGCTCCGGCTTGGTAAGGCTCCAGACACCAAAGGCCTACGAGCAGAAATGTTGAAGGACGGCGCGGAAGAATTGCACGGCGCACTTCTCCACCTCTACGGCGCGATCATCCAGTCCGACGCTCCGCCGCCGACCAGCTGGAAGAGCACTGTCGTCGCGGTCATTCCCAAGAGTGGGGATCTAACGCTTCCGCAAAACTATCGGCCCATATGCACAATACCATTGCTTTACAAGCTTTTCAGCAGACTTCTCTACAACCGACTCCAACCAACACTTGACTCCCGACAAACTGCAGACCAGGCCGGCTTCAGGCCGGGACACTCAACCACCGACCACTTATTCGCTTTCCATATTCTCCGTGAGCGCGCGCACGAATGGAACCAGAACTTGCGGGTAGCGGCGCTAGACTTCAAGAAAGCTTTTGACACCGTCGAGCACAATGGCATGTGGGCAGCGCTGGAGGCGCAGGGCGTCCAACGAGGATAATCTCACTACTCCAACAGCTGTGCGAGGGGCAGACGGCCACGGTCAGGACTGACGTCAGCAGCAAGTCCTTCAGTCTCCTCCGGGGAACGAAGCAGGGCGACCCGCTCAGTTCCTTGCTTTTCAACGCTTTGCTACAGCACAGTCTTGCACCACTAATAACCGACTGGCAAAAGAAGGGCAAGGGAGTGCAGCTAGGATTCACCACCACCTCCACGCTACTAACCTCCGCTTCGCCGACGACGTGCTCCTGACTAGCCAAACTCTACCGCGCCTCACCGCGATGCTCGACGACATCGTGCGCGCAGTGCGACCTCACGGACTTGAGTTGCACCCTTCCAAAATCAAAATACTCAGCAACCAGACCAGACGGACTGGCAGGGCAAGCTCGCGCACAGTACACATTCAGGGCATGGACATCGACATCCTTCCCCACGATGGCAGCATCAAGTACTTAGGTCAGCTCATCAGCTTTCACGACGCGATGGAGACTGAAATCCACCACCGTACGAGGGCAGCATGGGCAACGTTCACTTCGCACAAACAGGAGCTGACAAGCAAACACTACCCACTGGCACACCGACTTCGACTTTTCAGCCGGACCGTAACACCCGCAGCACTCTACGGAGCAGAGACATGGACGCTCACGGAACCTCTTCGGCAACACCTGCGGCGAACACAACGACGCATGCTCCGCATGATCATCAGGACACCAAGGCGACGCGCTACCCGCCAAACGACCCCGACGAGCAGCACCCAAGAACACGCGGACGACCGCGCGACCACTCAAGCACCTGACCAAGAAACCAGCAGCAGCGACGACGCAGAGAGCAACGCGCCCCAACAAGACACGACCGACCGACACAGCGAGAGCAACGACAACAACAATGACCAGGACGCGATGGAGCCGTGGGTCGACTACATCCAGCGAGCCACGCGGCGCGCAGAACAGCTCATGCAGCACCACCACATCGAAAACTGGGAGACGATTCACAGACAGAGGTCGTGGCGCATGGCATCCAAGGTAGCCAAACACGAGCCCACCAGATGGACGTGGCGTGCACTGCACTGGCAACCAGGAGAGAACTCACGGCAACGTGGCCGGAGACACCACGGCGGCCAGCGCAAGCGCTGGGACGACGACCTCATCAGCTTCCTTCAAGATCACCGACCCGACTTGCACCCAGCGCCCACACCAACCAACGAGCAGGGCAAGCCGAACGACCTCACTTGGGTTCGCTCAGCTCAAGACACCACCACGTGGTCGACACTCGAACACAAATACATCAGCACGTCGCCGACATTCACAACCAGGACTTCCTCCTCCTCTCCTCCTCCGTCATAACTTTTTGTGTGTTGCACCGAATCATGTATTGTGTGTCTCGCAGTTCCTGTGCATGTCTCTATGTTTACAGGAGGCCATGGCCTCACCCACCTGGTCTGAGCAGGCCCGGACAGCTGTCCGATGTGGTGGTTCGTTCGTTCGTTCGTTCGTTCCTCCTCCTCCTCCACCTCCTCCTCCTCCCCCCACCCCCCCCCTCCTCCTCCCCCTCCTCTCCTCCTCCTCCCTCCCTCTCCTCCTCCTCCTCCTCCTCCTCCACCTCCCCTCCTCGCCTCCTACCTCCTCCTCTCCTCCTCCTCCTCCTCCTCCTCCTCCTCTCTCCTCATCCCCCCTATGTCGCCGCCGCCGCCTCCTCCTCCTCCTCCTCCTTCTCCTCCTTCATCACCTTTCCTTACTAATCACTCCTCCCTGTCGCACCCCCAGACGTGTCGGTGGGGCGGGCCTGGCGTTTCGCGTGAGGCTTCCTCACCATTTCGGATCCTGAAGCTCGGAACTTGCTCTAGCTTCACGGAAGGAGGGCGGCGTCTTTTGTAGCTGTGACTCTCGCCTCAGCGCCGCGCACACTCGGATTGACAGGTCGCAGCAGCCTCGCGGATGGAGGGCGGGTGGTTTTCATGACGCTGGTCTCGCCCCGGCGTCGCGCACCTTCGTCTGAGAAGCTTGCGACGGCTGCAAGTTTTTTGAGGACTCGGAGGTTGATAGACCTCCTACCCTGACACGTCGATTAGCGAATTGGCCGTTTTCGGTTCGCGAGAGGGCGTCGCGGCCGGCATTTCTGCGGGTCCAGGTCCGTCGGTTTCGGCCCCCAGGCCGTTTTCGCTGAAGGGAGGTTTACTAAAGGGAGGTTCGTCCACCGCCGAGCTGCTCTGGCAGGGTTCAAGAGTGTCAGGACGCAACCTTCACGCTGATTCGCGGTGGTGATGTCCCAAGAATGGTGTCTTGGCACGTTTTAGGAATGTCAGGACGCAATCAGTCAAGTTGATCCGCGGCGTTGAGGTCCCAGGTGTTGTGTACTGCACGACTGAGGCTTACCAGACGGTTGTCTTCTAATGGGCCTCCTCTCGCAATGTCAGTGAATTCTTGTAGGGACCCATGAAGAGGGAACTTGGAGGGAGGGTTTCTTGCAACATCGCTGATGCGTCCTGGGTTTGCTCTGGTCCTCCTCCTCTTCCTTCTCCTCGCACTCCCTGTCCTCCTCTCCACCCCTCTTCCCCTCCCCCGTCCCTCTTCGCCCTCTGACTACACCCGTCAATCTGGAAGTTCTGTGTACCAACCTCGCTCTCTTCAGATGGCTTGCTACCACAACATGCACCCCGCATGGGTCAGTTGGACTAGCCCCGTTCTGCGCACTGAAATGTCGCGCACTCGCATGCCGGGCGAGGTCGCTTACTTGCCTGCACGCCCAGAAGCGGACGCCTTCTATTCTCCAGGTGACCTGGGAGGGGGCCCCAGTCTTCCTGCCGACTCGCAGTTTCCGGCGCCTGGGAGCCGTTTCCGCACCGCGGGAGTGTCAAGACACGAGCCGTGGTGAAACAACAGCCTCGGGGAGGGTGGAGATCCAGACTCGAGCAGATCGAGCCGTCAGAGGGTCGTGTCGGCGGCGAGCGAGGGGGGAAGTGAGAAGGGGCGGGCCTTCTCAGAAGGCTCGGAAGTCCCCCAGACTCCTGAGAAGTTTCCTGAGCCTTCCCGGAAGACTCTTGAGACTTCCCAGAGGGCGCGAGGGCTTTTGAGAAGTCCCGCCGCCTTCTGAGAAGGCCTTCTCCTTCGCACTTCCAGTCCCTCGCTTGCCGCCGAGTCCAGGAGTCTCCCCCTGAGACCATCTCCCCCCGACGTTGCCCCGAAAACTTTGAACACTTCTCCTTCTCACTCCCCCCCCCCTCGCTCGCCGCCGATCTTGGGCGGTCCCGTCCGCGCCGATCCCGGTCTGGCCAAGCCTGGGGCGGCGGGGGCTGCGCAGGGGAACGAAGAATGCCATGAAGGTAAAAATTCGGAGGTCCGCGCAGATTTCTCGCATCGGCGCTGGACCCCCCTCGCGCGCGGAGCGCGCCAGGGGCGGCGCCAGAGGCGCCGCCAGGGTGGCCCAGCGCCGATGCGAGAACTCCGCGCGGACCTCCGAGCTTTTATGTTGACGCCATTCTTCGCTCCCCTACGAAGGGCGGGCCCCTGGAGGTGGAGTCGAGAGGTCCAGGAGCCCAGTCCCGTCGCCATCACCTTCCGAAAAGCAGCCCTTCGCCCGAGACGGACCTCCGAGTTTTGATGTTTGGGTTAAGTCGGGCCTGTCCCTCTACAGGAGGCGTATTCAAAAATAGTAATAAAATTGTCCGGGGACGATTAGTTTGATCATTTTTTGGACCATTCTGGAGTATTTTGCTGGTACTCTTTCTTTTTCGTCCAAAATCCCCCTGCAGGGGGACACGCCCGACTTAACGATAGGGCCAGAACACAGAAGGAAGTGTCCATCGATAGCCCCGTTATGACCATGAGCCGCCCTCCATCAGCGTAGCTCTTGCGCGATGTTGCGCGTCGGGTCGCAGGTGCACGTTGAGGACGCATCAAGCGAGGACCTCAATTCTCAAGCGGGACCGCCTTCCATCTTAGTATCTGCTTTAGGTTTCGGGCTGGACATTGAGGAAGTCTCAAGCGAGAGGCCCATTCTGAAAATGAGTTGCCATCCATTATTCTGGCTGTTGTGTCCTTTTTTCAAGACGATTGTGTGCAGAGCTAAGGCACGACGAATGTTCGCGGCGCTTCTTCGATAATGGTATGTTGAGAACGATTCGCCCTCCATTCCTGTAGCTGTTGGGATTTTCCAGCTTTGGGGCTATACATGGTGAGGAAGCCTCATGCGGACCGCTCGGACCGCCCTACCGATACGTCTGGCAGTGCGACGAGAAGGGGTTACCGAAACGCCCACGTCGATTCACCTCCAGCCCCATGCCATCTGGAAGCGCCCGTGTGGAGCAGTGCAGAGTGAGAGTGCGGCAATGCTAGTTCGTGAATTGCGTGCTCCCCCAGCGCGTGGGGAAACCATTTCGGGGCTCTCTTGGAGCTCTTTTCGGACCACGGTCAACCCGCATGGTAGGGATGCGCACCCTTCCCAAGGGCACCCTTGCATACCTGCGTCCTCGGTCCATCCTTGGCCACTTTCGTTGGCCGCGCCCCGCTCGAGAAGCTTCGAAGTGGCCCCCTAATGCCCTTGCATCCTTGTCGTGCGTCCTTCTGATACGGGTCGACTGCACTTGGGCTTTCTTGGGGACTTCTTTGTTTTTTTGCCATCTAATGATGATAATGATGATGATGATGATGATGATGATGATGGTGGTGGTGGTGGTGATGATGATGTTGATGATGTTGCTGATGATGCTGCTGCTGATGATTATTCTGAGGAAGATGAGGATGAGGAGGATGAGGATGAGGATGAGGATGAGGAGGAGGAGGAGGAGGCGGATGAGGAGGAGGAGGAGGAGCGGGAGGAGGAGGAGGAGGAGTTGGAGGAGGAGGAGGAGGGGGAGGAGGAGGAGGAGAAGGACAACTAATAATAATAATACTAATACTACTAATAATAATATTATTAATAATATTAAGAACAATAATACTACTAATAATAATAATAATAGTACGAACACGAGTAATAATAACAATGCTAATAAGACGAATAATAAGACGAATACTAAGACGAACAATAATAATACGCATGATAATAATGATAGGAAACATCATACTAATAATCATACTAATAATTTTAATACGAATGATAGTAGTAATAATAATGCTAATAATAATTAAGACGAATGATAATACTAGTAAGACGAATACGAATAATAATACTACTACTACTAATAATAATAGTAATAATAATACTAATACTAATAATACTACTAATAATAATACCACTAATAATAATAATGGTACGAATACGAATGACAGTACCAATTATAATGATAAGACTAATACTAATAATAAGAATAACACGCATAACAATAATACGAATAATAATAATGATAATGATACTTTTAATTATGGCGGCTCTACTGCTAGTAGCCCCTCTTCCGCCGAGCCCCCCTGGCCCAGAGAGGCCGCCCAGAGGCGGGGGGCCGGCCGGCAAGACAGTGTATGAACGTTGTTTGAGGTGTCGCTGAATGCAGCGTGGCACCACAATAATGATGTTGAGAGGTCTCCGGAGGCCCGGGAGGTTCCACCAGCTCTCACGGGGTCCCACGAGGGTGAGATTCATTTTCCCCGTGGGCCAGACGAAAACGGCCAATGAGCCGCAGATAGGTGGCCGGTCCCCGGTGTGCAATTTGACCTTAATTGGGTTTGCGCCCGCTAGCATCGGCCACGCGGCCGGGACAGCTACGTTGCGTGTTCCCCAATTGGGCTTGCGCTCGGACCCGTTGTGGGCCAGTCTCCTGGCCGAGGCAAGCTCCATAGCATCGGGCATGTCACGGATTTGGTGCGCCGCGTGGGTCCGCAGCCGCGCAAGGTCAAACAGTGACGGAGCGTTGCCCCCAGGCGCTCGCGGCCGCCCTCGGTGGCCATGTTCCGGCGTCGGCGATTCAGGCCAGCCGGCCAGTCGCGCCCGTCGCCGGGGCACCAGAGCCCGACGAGGCAGCGGAAGGGCGCAGCGACGCGTGGCGCGATCGCCTGGCTGCCGCGACGGGCGCGCAGCCGCGCAGGCAGAGGCGGCCCCCGCTGGTGCCTGTATTCTTCGGCTTCGCTGACGTTCGGCTTCCGCCGGACACGGCCTTCGCCCTGGAAGTGGGCGACGCCCTGCGTGAGCCTTTGCAACGCTGCGATGGCGAAGCGCCCGCAGGGGCCAAGGTACTTTTCCTCGGCCAGGAGACGGGGGGTGACGCCAGGGCCGAGGCAAGTTGGGTTCCCGCGAAGTTCGGTCTGCCTTGGCACCCCGACGCGTTCGCCCGCGCGGCAGCCGAGGTAGTGGCGCCTTTCGATCAGCTGCCGGAGCTGCGTTCGCATGTGCTCGAGACAGTTTTCTTCGTCTTTACCCGCGGCCCGACGGAGGTCGTCAGCTTCCGCCGGCTGGCGTTCAAGCACTGGGCGCTCCGGGCGCGAGCTTTGGAACAGGACGAGGCGAGGCTGCACGAGTCCATGGAGCCCGGCGTGCGGCGCGTGTTGCGCGGCAAGCGACTCCTCCTGCTCGATGAGATGGCGCGGGCTGCTGGCTACCCGGACTGCGGGTTGCCGGGCGAGGCGGCCGCGGGCCTGGCAGTCATCGGAGTGCTCCCGATGACGGGGGAGTTCCCTCCGCTCCCAGTCCCGGCGAAGGAGTCTGTCGCCGCCGTCCTGGCGCGCGCAGCGGAGGCGCAGCGCGCGGCCGCGGCGACTGTGGGGCCATCCTCCGACCCGGCGCTGGGCGCGGAGGTCGAGCGAGTGACCCTGGAACAGGAGGCTGCCGGCCTTCTGTCTGCGCCGTTCCTGTCGGTGGAGGAGGTTTCCGCCGCGCTTGGGCCAGACGGGCTCCCCGCCCGCCAGTTTGGTGTCTGGCAAGGAGGGAAGGCGCGGGAGATCGATGACGCCACAGAGTTCGGCGACAACCTGTTGGTTGAGCGGACCGAAAAGCTCGATGTCCTCGGTGTTGACGAAGTCGCCGGCTTGGCCCGATGCTGGGCGGAAGCGGTGGACTGGGACCAGCGACGCGTCAGAGTGCGCCTTCCGGGCGGCGCTGTTCTGGATGGCAAGTTGTCTGGCGAGTGGAGTCGCGCGGGGGCGGCGCGCCTCACGGGCCGGACGCTGGACCTCAGCAAGGCCTACAAGCAGTTGGCCAAGCGGCCAGAGCATCGCAGTTTCTCTGTCGTGGCGTCATGGTCGGCGGCCAGGCGCCGCGTCGAGTTCCGTTTGGCCAATTCCCTCCTGTTCGGGGAGACCGGCGCCGTGTTTCAGGCCAGCCGCTTCTTCCGGCCTCTGGAGTGGATATTGTGCCGGCTCTTCCGTGTCGCTGTCACAAATTATTTCGATGATTATCCGCACCTCGAGCCCGAGGTTCTGGCTGCTGGGGGCTATGCCACGGCACTCGAGGTCCTGGGGCTCCTCGGGTGGCCCCCGAGGGAGGAGCGATCGGAAGACAGGGTGCCGAGGCCAGTGTTCACCGCTCTCGGGGCGCACTTCGACATGAGCCCCCTCGTCGAGCACGGCTTCTTCAGGGTAGGCGGGCCGCATAGAGTCCATCAGCAAGGATTTGGCGATGATCGAGGCCAGGGGCCGGGTCCGCCGCGGCGATCTGGACTCCCTCATCGGCAAGTGCCGGCACGCAAGGTCGAACACGTTCGGCCGGTGCGGCGCTGCGGCCTTGCAGGCGCTCGGTGACTTCAGGCAGAACGGCGCAGCGGGCGGCTCGATCACCCCAAGGGTGAAGTGGGCGCTGCGGTGGTGGCGCCGCTTCTTGAGCTGCACCCGGCCAAGAGAGGTGTGCTGCCACCGGCGCCTCCCGACGTTGCGTCTGTTCGCAGATGGGGCCTGCACCCCTCGCCCTGGCCGGCTGCCACTGGTGTCGATCGGCGCCGTGCTGTGCCGCGCCGGCGCCGCCCCTGTCGTGTGGGGAACGGAGGTCCCAGAGGAGGTCGCGGCCAGGTGGCAGGACCGCGGTGTGCGCACTGTGGAGCAGGTGATCGGCCAGGCTGAGCTTGCCCCCGCGGTCGTGGCCCGCCTCCTGTGGCCAGATGGGTTGTCTCAGGCGGTGCTGCTCCATTGGGTGGACAACGAGGCTGCCCGCTTTGGCCTCGTCCGGGGCTACTCGCCGGTGGAGGCGAGTGCTGAGCTCATTTCGTGGTCGCAGGAGTTGGACATGGCGCGCGGCCCGGCGTCGTGGGTTGAAAGGGTCCCATCCCTTGGCAACCCCGCCGACAAGGCGTCCCGCCTGGAGTTCGACGGATACCAGGGCGCTGTGGTGCTGGATGCTGTGCCGTGCTTGGCCCTGTTCTGGCAGGGTCTGCTCGAACCAGAACGGAGGCCTGTCAATGCGACTCGGCGCTGACATGTCCCAGTGAGAGGCGGCCTGATGAGATGGGGGTAGATGCGGAGGCCCGCCCCCCCAGTACCGCTCAATGATTCAATGATGTTGTTCCCCACGGTGCAAAACAATTGCGTGTAATTCCTGACGCTTCGCGTCTTTCCGCCCGCTTCAGGAGGAGGTGCCCAGGAGGAACTAGGAGTTAAAGGGGGACTCTTTCAATGCTGTAGGATGGCGGAAGGCGGCTCTGCTGCTAGTGGCCCCTCTTCCGCCGAGACCCCCTGGTCCAGAGAGGCCGCCCAGAGGCGGGGGGCCGGCCGGCAAGACAGTGTATGAACGTTGTTTGAGGTGTCGCTGAATGCAGCGTGGCACCACAATAATGATGTTGAGAGGTCTCCGGAGGCCCGGGAGGTTCCACCAGTTCCCACGGGGTCCCACGAGGGTGCGATTCATTTTCCCCGTGGGCCAGACGAAAACGGCCAATGAGCCGCAGATAGGTGGCCGGTCCCCCGTGTGCAATCTGACCTTAATTGGGTTTGCGCCCGCTAGCATCGGCCACGCGGCCGGGACAGCTACGTTGCGTGTTCCCCAATTGGGCTTGCGCTCGGACCCGTTGTGGGCCAGTCTCCTGGCCGAGGCAAACTCCATAGCATCGGGCATGTCACGGATTTGGTGCGCCGCGTGGGTCCGCAGCCGCGCGAGGTCAAACAGTGACGAGGCATGTGATTTTTGTGCCCGCCCACCCGATGCGGAGGCTCGCCTCCCCAGTACCGCTCAATGATTCAATGATGTTGTTCCCCGCGGTGCAAAACAAGTGCGTGCAATTCCTGACGCTTCGCGTCTTTCCGCCCGCTCCAGGAGGAGGTGCCCAGGAGGAGCTAGGAGTTAAAGGGAAATTCTTTCAATGCTGTTGTTCTCTGATGTCTGCCGGCGAGGGCCCGGGAGGATGGTGGAAAACAATAATAATCAGAATGCTACTGCTACTACTCATAATAACAATAAGACGAATGCGAATAATAAGAAGACGACGAACACGAATAATACTACTAATAATAATGCTAGTAATAATAATAACAATAATACTAACAGTAATCATAATACTAATAACACTAATACGACTACTAATAATAATAATATTGATAACAACAACTACTACTAATCACACTAATAATACTAATACGAATAATAACAATAGTACTACTACTAATAATAATACTAATAATACAAATAAATATACTATTACTAATAATACGAATAATATCAATACTACTACTAATAATAATATCATTGATAATACGAATAGTAGTACTACTAATAATACTAATAATGGTAATACTAATAATAATACTACTAATCATTATAGTAATATCAATAATCTCATTACTAATATTACTAATAGTAGTAGTAGTAGTAGTAGTAGTAGTAGTAGTAGTAGTAGTACTGATAATATTATTAATACTAATAATAATAGTACTAATATTAATAGTAATGAATACTACTACTACTACTATTACTACTACTAGTACTACTACTAATAAGAATCATCATAATAATACTAATAATACGAATAATAAAAGTACTAATAATACTACTACTAATAATATTAACAATAAAACATATAATAATACTAATAATAATATTATTGTTATTAATAGTAATAGTAATACTAATAATATTCATAATACTAATGCTAGTAATATTACTAAGTGTACGTATACTATTACGAATACTACTACTACTACTAATAATATTAATAATAATAACAGTACTGTTACTATTAATAATAGTAGTAATAATTATAGTACTAATAATACGATTCATAATACAATTACTCCTACTAATAATAATCACAATAATAATAACAGTGATACTAATAGTAATATTAATAATATTAATAATAATAGTAATACTAGTGATAGTACTAATAATAATAACAATAATAATAATAATAATAATAATAATAATAATAATAATAATAATAATATTAATAATAATACTGATACTAATAATAATACTACGAATGATAATAATACTAATAATACTACTAATAATAGTAATAATATTAATAATTATACTAATAATACAAATAATAGTACTAATAATAATAATACTACTAATAATAATCATAATCACTACTACTACTACTACTACTACTACTACTACTACTACTACTACTACTACTACTACTACTACTACTACTACTACTACTACTACTACTACTACTACTACTACTACTACTACTACTACTACTACTACTACTACTACTACTACTACTACTACTACTACTACTAATACTAGTACTAATACTAATAGTACTACTAATAAAAATAATGAGAAGAAGAGGAAGAGGAGAAGGAGGAGGAGGAGGAGGCGGAGGCGGCGACGGAGGCGGAGGCGGAGGCGGAGGCGGAGGAGGAGGAGGAAGAGGAGTAGGACATGGAGGAGGAGAAGGAGGACAGGAGAAGGAGGAGGAGGAGGAGGAGGAGGAGGAGGAGGATGATGAGGAGGAGGAGCAGGAGGAGGAGCAGGAGGAGGAGGAGCATGAGGTGGGAGGAGGAGAAGGAGGATGAGGAGGAGGAGGAGGAGGGGAGGAGGAGGGAGGAGGAGGAAAGGAGGAGGAGGAAGGCGGAGGAGGAGGGAGGCTGAGACGGAGGCGGAGGGAGGAGGAGGAGAGGAGGATGAGGAGGAGGAGGAGGATGGAGGAGGAGGAGGAGGAGGAGAGGAGGAGAGAGGACGATGAGGAACAGGAACAGGAACAGGAACAGGAACAGGAACAGGAACAGGAACAGGAACAGGAACAGGAACAGGAACAGGAACAGGAACAGGAGGAGCAGGAGCAGGAGGAGGAGGAGGAGGAGGAGGAGGAGGAGGAGGAGGACGAGGAGGAGGAGGAGGAGGAGGTCATCGTCAACGGCTCCTCAGGTGAGGTGGCGTACCTGCCCGTGCCCGTGCGGTTCGGGCTTGGCGCCATAGGGGACGAAGGTTTGGGCAGCCGAAACTTCGTCGTGGTCGTCGTTGTCGTCGTCGTCGTCGTCGTCGACGCCGCTGCCGTCGCCGTCGCCGTCGCCGTTGTCGTCGTCGTTGGCTTCGGCCTTGGCGTCGGCGTCGACGATGCCGTCGGCGACGCCCATGATCGGTGAATATGCCTCCCTGCCAGGGGCGGCGGATATGCACATCTCGTCGCCCTATCCTGTGCCCGTTTACGCACTAGGCCTGATGACTACGGATACCCAGCAGTGATCAGGGGGCATGCGTCTGGCTTTTCAATCGCACGGGGGTTTCTGGGGAGACAGAAGCAGGAACATATTTCCCCATGCAGCTTGCCTCTGTAGGGGTCCTAGCGGATTCATATGGTCAGGTGAGGTTTGTCACTTCCGCGGCCCACCCGGGTGCCCGGTGCCCAGGTGCCAGGGTGCCTGGGTACCCGGGTTCTTTGTAGCCCTGTAGCCCTACAGCCCTATAGTTTTATAGCCCTATAGCCCCATAGCCCAGTAGCCCTATAGTCCTATAGCCCAATAGGCCTATAGCCCTATAGATCTATAGCCCCAGATCCCTATAGCCCTATAGCCCAATAGCCCGATAGCCCTACAGCCCTATAGCCCTAGATCCTTATATCCCTATATCCCTATAGCCTTTTAACCTTCTAGCTAGCCCTATTGCCCTATGGCCCTAGAGACTTATAGCTCTATATGCCTATAGCCCTATAGCCCTATAGCACCATAGCCCCATGACCCTATAGCCCTATAGCCCTATGGTCCTATAGCCCTATAGCCCTATAGCCCCATAACGCTATAGACTCATAGCCCCATGGCCCTGAAGCCCTATAGCCCCATAGCCCCAGAGCCCCATAGCCCCACAGCATTGTAGCCCTACAACCCTATAGCCCTATGGCCCTATAGCCCTAGAGCCCCATAGACCGATAGCCCTATGGCCCTATAGCCCTATAGCCGCATAGCCCTATCGGCCCATAGCTCCATCGCCCTTTAGCCCAATAGCCCCATGGCCCTATAGCCCTAAAAAGGCTTTGATAGGGTTTTCTCCGGTATCATCCCATATTTCTAATACTTCACAGGCCAGGCACACCGTATTTTCGACATGGAGTATCCAGCTGGCAGGTCCATCAAAGTCTGCCAGTGCAGTCGGTAGCCTCACGGGCAGGGTTAGGCAGGTGGGGGTTCCGGTGGACGTCCTCCAGATGTCTGGGATCTTTGGCAGCACGGAGGCGGGCTGGGTGGTGCGGCGCCATTCGCCCAACGCAGCTCCGTCTCATTCTTCTCGCCCAGCCCTCGCCGTCGCAGAGCTTTGACAGTCGACGTCCAGAGCTCTCGCTGGCGTTCATCGCGTTGTCGAGGGCCGTCGTGTCCGCGGTGAGCACGCCCCTGGTACTCTTGATGGGCG